AATTAAATAAATGAATAAATAAATGAATACATAGACAATAAATAAATAAAAGTAAATTAGCCTAAGATGGGTTTTAGGTTTAACGAACTATCTCAGAATCCCACTGGTTCTATATAGCAAGAACTGCAGAATCTAGGAGTCTCTTTCCAGTAAGATAGCATGAACTGTCTATGAATCTCTTTTGCATGAGTTACTAATAAAACTATACATATAGAAATCTGTTTCGGTGCTCTGGTGTAGTCTGCTAGTTTTGTCCTGTCAAACTTCTATCGTCCTTTTAATAAAATCTTACCTCCTTCCTTATTGTGTATGTTACTTTCTCATTATACCTGTTGTTGGCTTCGGCACGTATATGACCTATCTGTGTTACAAATGGTCGTAGACCTCAAAACTGTCTAGGAATCTCTTTTGCTCAGGATAGGCCTAGCTATAAGTAGCCAGGAGTACCACCAAAGATACTCCACTACCAAGATATTTCACTTGCTCTTTGGGCTTTTGTCCGCTCCGTGGCGGGCCCGGTGGTGGAGTATCTTTGGTACCACAGGCTCCAGTTCCTCCTCCAGGAATGGCCAAGGGACGACACCAAATACATAACATCAGAATCTCTCCTGCGCTCTCAAAGAGGAAAACGTTTTGGGGAACCCCCTGGGGGTTCCGGGAGCCACCCTTATCTGGCGCCCGCCTTAGATACTGTGTACTGAGGGTGTGTGTGTGTGTGTGTGTGTGTTTGTGTGTGTGTATGTGTGTGTGTGTTGTTAATTTATTTTTAAAGTAGTTGTAACCAATCAGCCTGCATGAAGTAAATTTAAAAACAAATGACATAGCTTTTGAGTGTGAGGAACAGTTTACACAAACGGCACACCACGTACATTACTAGAGCATAATTAAAATATCATGTGCTACAGGCCAACATTTTAACCCTATCCGTACCCTATGTTTTACTATCGTATCCATACGACGTGAGGAACTCTGAGCCACCACTTAACCCTATCCGTACGTCGTGTTTTACTATCGTATCCATACGACGTGGGGACCTCTGTGCCACCATTTTCCAAAGAGGAAATTTACTCGTTATTCCGATCCGTACACTATGCAGAGTAGTCTGTCAAAATGATTTTTTGGGAGAAATACTGTAAGCTTCAAAGAGACCTTCGTACTTGAAGTATTCTAAAATTTATGTGAAGAATACAACCCCGGGGGTACAAAATGACCCCAGGGAGTACGGATAGGTTTAAATAGAAATAAATTTATTTCTAGAATAATATTCACATAGCAAACTGCAGTCATGGCTTCAGAACGACACTTTTAAATAGGGCTGGGCAATGAGTCCCTTTTGCAAAATCCGGATAATACGTTAGTGCACCTCTTTGGCAAATAATCAATTAAATTATGTTATGAACTGCTTCGACAAACCGGTAAGCATCACTTCAACAAATGGGTACACCAAACTTCGCCAAACGGGTCAGGAAAGAGAGTTAACGAGTCTGAATTCGGATTACGTTTTATTTAGAAATATCCGGTTATCAGGATAGTTATCCGGATTTTGCCCACCTCTACTTTTAAGGGCCTTTGATTAAGTCACGAATTAGTACATAAAGTTGTCTGGTTATGTAACAGGAAATTTATTAGAAAATGTATAACCAGATAAATGTGTCAGTGCCAATCAAACTAAGACACAACTAGGAAATTTAACAAATCACGTCAATATTATTGTCAAAAACTATTATGAATTCCCTAGAATGAAAGAAAAATTAAGTCAATACAACAGTATTTGACGAAAACATGTAACAATTATTAGTGCACGATGCGGATAAAGGAAACTGAGAAAACATAAGTTTTACTTCTGATAATTATGCTACGTCAAGCCGCGCGTAATATTTCCGAAATATATTATCAAAATAAGAAACATAATAAATAGAAGGGGGTCGTTGTTTGGGGTTGTCTTATTTTCTTAGGGTATGAGACAACGAAAATATCAAACTTTTAGGAGATAAGATTGTTTTTTAAAAGCCAACCTTTTTCAGGAGATTGTTGATGTTGGAGGTGGTGTTGTTACGGTTGGTTTTTTCTTTCTTTTTTTTTCCTTTTGCACCTAGTAGCTCGGAATAGCTCAATGCGACTTACACCTGTAGCGATTGGCGCTGTCACAAATATTACTACCTGTGAACATCAATTTACGCAGAGCCAACCTGTTTGGGTAAATGAAATGACTCTAAGACCGGTCCCAGAGTGGCTCTGTAGGTCTGACCTGTATCTCGCCTGGCTCGCACCGTGCAAATGAATGTATACATTATCGTGTGCTTAAGCAGCGTCGCTGTGCCGTCTGTTTTTTGTCAGCTGAGCTGCGCGATGCGTCAGACGTGCTATTCAACAGTGTTGTAAATAAGGACACAGTACTTAAATATAGCAAGGGAGACCCATCAGTTGCACACCTGCACACGTCAACACACAGTGCGGCTGTGCTGACACGCACACGGCGTGAGCCAAGCCAGTTACAGGTCAGACCTACAGAGCCACTCTGGGACCGGCCTAAATCAAGGCAGCCACATATCCTTGGAAGAAGAAGAAGAAGAAGAAGAAGAAGAAGAAGAAGAAGAAGAAGAAGAAGAAGAAGAAGAAGAAGAAGAAGAAGAAGAAGAAG